TGGCCCATTGCTGCTGTGCTCTTCCATTAGCTAAAGACAATAGCAGGATGACAACACTCGCTCCCCCTGCCCCCCAGCTTTCTTCTTTTTTTATTCTGGAAGAAATCCAGTTCTCTCAGTTTCTCCTCTCCAAGCCCCTGCTTCTTCTCTCTGAGCACCTGGGCAGCTCGGTAGCCCTCTGCTAGACTCAGTCCAGTGTATCAGTACGTTTCTTTTACTGGGAAGTGCAGAACTTAACCCAGCACTCTAGCTGGAATCAATCTCACAAGTGCTGAATACCCGGAAAGAGTCTTTCCCTCAAATTGCTGGTTATGTCCTTGCTAATACAGTCTACTGTGCAGTTGTCACCTGTGCTGCAGAGGCACACCGCTGACTCGTGTTCACCTTGTTATCTACCGGGAACCCCGGGAACTTTTCTGCAAAGCTCCTTTCTGACCAGCCCGGCCCCAGCCTGTGCTGTCACGTGGCGTTACCCCATCCCAGGTGCAGGGCTTTGCTCTTGCCTCTGACTTAGAGGCCCCCGTCAGCCCCTGTGTCCAGGCTGTGTAGGTCTCTCTGAAGAGCAGCTCTGCTCTCCAGTGCATCAGCAGCTCTCCAGCCTTGGTGTCATCTGCAGGCTGGCTGGGGCACACTCCCTCCCTCTACCTAGATTGTTATTGAAGACCCTAAATTGTATTGGCCCTAGTATTGATCTGTGAGCGTTGCCACTAGTAAGTGGCCACCAGTTGGACTTTGTACCACCATTCCAGTGGTCCAGACAACTTTCTGCCTACCTTGTATGTTTATCCAATCTATATCTCACTGATATTTTAACTGTAAGGAAATTACAGGAGATCATGTCAAATGCCTTGCTAAAGTCAAGGTGTAAAACGTCCACTGCTACCCTCTTACTCACACTGGCAGTTATCGCTGTCAGTCTGGCTGATGAGGTGTGCTTTGCTCCTGGTAGAGCTAGCTGGCTGTTCCCAGTCACGTTCAGGTGTCTGAAAATGTCTTCTGGGAGTGTTTGTTCCTTGCATTTTCTGGGGGCTGAGGTGAAGCTGACTGGCCTGTAACTCCTCAGATCCTCCTTTCTGAAAACAGGTGAGAAGTTTGCCTTTTCCCAGCCATCAGGATCCTCCCCCCCATCTCCGAGTCCTTTCAGAAATGACAGCAGCCTTGCACTGACCTCCGCTACCTTCCTCAGGGCAGCCCGTCCAGTCCCGTGGATTTCTGTACAGCCCGTTGGCTTAAGTGATCTGTAACTCCACCTTCTTCTACTGCTTTACACCCACGGACTGCTAGTAGGCTCAGGGACTTGGGAGGTCTGAGGGAAAACCTTTGCAATGAAAATGAGGCAAAAACCGCATCAAGTACCTCAGTCTTTTCCATGTCCTGTGTCACCAGCTCCTCTGCCTCTGAGCAGTGGGCCCATACCTCCCTTACCCTTCGTCTTGCTGCTAAGGTACTTGCAGGAGCTCTCCTTACTGCTTTTCACGTCCTTTGCTAGTTCCACCTCCTGCTGAGCACTGACGTTTCTAACTCCCTCCCTCTGCGTGCTCAGGCAATATCTCTGTTCTGGGTATCTTGTACCTTCTGCTGCCTTTCTGTGCTTGAGCTACCTGAGGAGTTCTCTGTTCACCTGTGCTGGCCTTCTGCTGCCCTGGCCCGACCTTCTGTGCAGAGGAGTAGACTACTTGTGTTTTGAGGAGCTTGTGGTTTGGAAATCAAGCAGCTCTCCTGAGCACCTTTGCCTTCCAGGGCAGTGTCCCTGGGATACTGACAAGCAGATCCCTGAACAAGCTGAAATCTGCCCTCCTGAGGTGCAGGGCAGTGGTTCTGCTATGTCTTCCTCAGTTTAAGATCCTGAATCCTGTGGCCATCAAGCAACATCTGGGATCTGGGCATGGACTAAGAAAGAAGCCTGTTGATGTCTCCAAATCAGGCTGGCAGTGAGGGCCTCTGTCCCCCACAGGAGGGATTCTCTGGTAGCTCTTGTGATCTTTTTCTTTGTTGTGGGAACACTTGGCTCAGGTTCACCTGGCACTGATGCATTCCTTGGTGGAGTTCATCATCCTTGGCTTTCTTAGGGCACCGCACCCACTCTGCAACAGCAGAACTGCAGATGGAAGAGGAGAACTTTTGTGTTGCTGGAGACAGGAGGTTTCCAGCCTTCCCTCCTGTGGGAGTCTGCATCCACGGCTGCTGGGAGGGTTGTCACAAGGTTTTGCCTCCGTTGCAACACAGGGCTCAGGCACTCCTTAGCTCCGCAGCATCTCTGCGAGGACCCTGTCACCACCTCTGCAGCTCCGTCACCCAGGGACTCGGCACTGCGGCCAAAGCACCGCTCCCGCGGCAGAGGCGGCTGTGGGCAGCCCCGGGGAGAGGCATTAGCCGGCCGGAGCCCGGGCTGCTGCAGCACCCTTCTTCCTCTGGAGCCAGAGCCGGGCCAGGCGGCTGCTCCAGCCCACCCAGGGATGGCCGTTGCTGCAGGCCTGTTTCTACAACACTTCCACCTGCTATGGCCTCTCCGAGTACCTGAAATGCTTCCCTGAAGTGCACCCGCCAGGGCACTGTTACAACACGCCACTGCTGCGGACTTGTGGAGATGCTTTCTGAAATACGTGCATTTATCCCTTTAAAATGTCTGTTGCTCTTAGAAGTGGATTTCTCTAGCTGTGCTTTTCAGAAGTACCTAAATTTGTATTGAAAACCAACAACTCTTCTTGATCTTGGCTGTTCCCTTTGTAAAAGTTACAATTTATTAGGGAAATACAGAAAGGCCACTCAAGGAATACTCTCTCTCTTCTCCTCCTTCCCCTGTTGAATTGGTTTATATTCCAGCTGCAGATCTATAGTCTTTTATTTTGTTTACACTTAACATTTAAGCAGTGCTTAATCTCATGAGATTGGAGTGTTGTGGTTATGCTATTTATTAAAAAGAATCTTTGAACCACATGAAAGTTGCAAATAAGAGTGAGTGGTCCTTTCCTTGCCCCTCAGGGTTCTGGATTTCTCCTCTGATGCCTTCTAAACACAGAGATGATGGATATTGATCCCTCCTTCTATGATACTCTTCTCCAAACAAGGAGCAAGCCCTGTGACTTAGCCCTGTTCCAACAACGCAGAATCACAGCACAGCCCTGGTGGGAAGGGACCTTAGAAGATCATCTGGTCAAACCTTTGGTGGGAAAGGGAGCCTTGGAGAGATTATTTAGCACCCTGTTGAGTCGTATCTTGAAGACACCCAGTGACGACGATTCTACCACTGCCCTGGGGAGGTTGTACCAGTGCCTGAGTGTTCTCACTGTAAAAAGTTCCCTTCTTACGTTGAAATAAATCTGGAGGAGTGCTTGATGAATTTAGAAAAGTTGATGGTTTTCAGTACAGGTCAGTGTATGTTAAAAGCTTCAGTTCTTTTGCAGTGGAAGGCTTAGCATAAGCTTTGTTTCCCTTCCTACTTTTCCCAATAAAGAACTACTTATGGTCAATATCCTCTTCAACTGGTTATTTAAAGCTCATCAACATTGTTTAATTTGCTCAGTCCTACCTCCTGCATGGTGTAATTAAGTGCCACAAAGTCTTTTTCTCTCCACGCCTGACCCAGCCTGTGATGTGGGACAGCACAGCCTGCTAGCTGAACTGTGGCCTTCTACACGGTGGGTTGCAATCTCTTTCCTCCGCCCTCTCTACAGACTGAAGAAAATCTGCAGCTATAGCATTTTTTTGCCACCCATTTCAGCAGGGAGAATATTTCGCTGTACAGGAAGTAAAACACGTACCTGTTGACTTCCTTTGATGAACATCAGTGTTTCCAGAAACAGGTAACTGCTGCCAGAGGGGTAGAGACCCCCCAGCTACTACTGCCTTCAAGCACTGCTTAGGCACAGTCGAGGCGGAATGCTGGATTCCAAATTTTGAAGATCTTAGCAGCCAATGACCAATAAGATGGGTTCAAACTCATTATAAACTTAAGTTCCGGTAGTTTCATTCAGATGTATATATACAAACCAAAACACGGTCAAGAACACACTCTGCATCTTTATTTTTCTAGTAGAATCATGTCAGTGACTAAAGCTTAGTATTTCACCCATCATTTAACTGAAACCTTTGCCAAAAGTGGAATTAATTCATTTAATTAAATAAGTCATTCTATTAAAAAAATAGAGTGATTTTCCAAGAGAAGTCCCAATATGTACTGCCAACTTTGCATTCAGTGGAGTACAACAAACTGTTCCTAGTTTGACCCTAAGTAAACAGCTGCAGAACAAAACCAAAAGCCAGCATGCAGCAGCCTATGGCCAGGGAATACTAGAGGACATTACGGAATCGCTTAAATGACTGGGCGTTATCGCCTTGGCACTAAATTACGCCTAGCAGCTAACAAAGAAGGAGCTTGACTGAAGTAGGCCTGTGCATACACATCACTGTTATGAACGTGCATCTTGTGTAACTAAACATACAGCCAGGGAGCTAGTTCCGATTTAAAACAAACAGCTTAAACCCCAGTTTGCAACTCCATAGTAGATACGTTGTCACTAGTTACCACCAGTTAATTAAAATTGAGTTTGGCACCTGCAAAAATTCCATCCCGAGATCAGTATGCACAACAGTGGAAATAAGAAGAGGGCAGAAAGTGGCCGAGACACATACTCCCCATGAATGCTGTCGTTAAGCGGCTGTCATATTTGTCTATTAAGAATCACGTCAGGATACGGGCTTGCATTTGAAGCGGCGTCCCGCACCACCTACCACAGCGTGGGGATGCAGCTGCTGGCCCCGCAGGCTCCCGCCACGGAAGGCCGCTGGAGGTGACACCCGCCAGCACTGCCGTGTTCGCCTCTCCCTGGAGGGCACTGCGCACCCACCCTGCTGGAGACCACACGGGGTGCGCCACTGCAGCTTTACCACAGTGAGAAAAAGGCTCCTCTCGACGGACATCTCAAAGACCTTCCATCCTGGCTTTCACCGTTTGAAGTTTTCATGTTCTGTACTTCTAATCTAAATGGAGACTCTTTGCCAATGCTAATCCACTTGTGTTTGTTGCTGCGTTTCTACACGGATTAATTTCATCTGCCGGTCTGTATTTTGACAAGATCAACACAAAATCTTAATCAGGAAGTGCATTTAGCCCTCACCTCTGGTAATCCTGAGGAAACAGTCTTGTATGACATTATTCGGTGTTGAACCTTTATACAAAATGGAAATGGGGTTTTGTTCAATCAAAATAATCTTCTATATCAATATCTGGATTCAGGAGATCTTCACCGTAGGCTGAAAGATCCATTTGATTTAAAATCAAGTTCTCAAAGGTTTCTTCCAAGTCTGTTTCACCAATCAGCACAGCTCCCATCATTCGGCCATTCTGCATCACTACTTTAACGTACTCTTGTCCCTTGGTACATCTCAGCATCAGTTCATGGTCTAGACCCAAGCCTTGAGCGTTGTACTTTCCCAAAACCACCACCTGACAAGGAAAACGAAGCGCTCGTAAGGTCATTGCAGTGGCTGTTAGTATTTCTGCTGGTAACAGTTCTAAGTTTCAAAAGACTGATTTAAACAGAGAAATATTTATTCCTAGGGAACCTCCCCCTTTCACTGGCTTTCAAACCCACAACAGAATTAAAAATCTTCACCTTTAAATATGATTACACAAACCCCAATAATGAACCAGTTACCATGCTGAACTGCGTTGAACGTATCCATGAACAGAAACATAATGAAATGAAATATATAGAGATGCAAAGTAGATCAGTTGTCATTCACCAATTAAAGTTTGTAAGATATCTGTACAGATCTTTACCCTCTTCAGTTTCAGCATCCAAGTTAGTATGAATGGAGAAAATCTAAACTAAGATTAATTATACAAAGAAACCTGTTTTGTCGATATTGAAGCATCTGCTTGGTGTTGGCAAGTGAATATAAGCAAGCAATAGGGGTGTTACTCAGTGGTTTAAGACTATTAGACTGTGTTTACTTTACCTTGTAATTGAAAAATTTTGTGACATGAGCAAATAATTCAAAGCTGAAATCCAAATCAATAGCTTCCCCTAGAGTATCTGCTGCCATGCACTTTGCTGCGTACCATCCCATCTGCCTAGCCTGAGTCCACAGTCTCATCTAAAAAAAAAAAAACAACAATAAAAAAGATTTAAAACCACAGATACACGTCACTGTGCAATGACCGACACTCCCTGTCCTCATCAATGCACGCAACATCCTGTCACTGCACTCGGAAGGGCTGAACAGCTTGGCTTTCAGCCACACAGATAAAATCACCTGTCATCAGCACACCCTGGGGTTATCTACTGGTTCACTGGTTTCACTTCAGTTAAACTTTCTTGCCTGCCACCTGCGTAACAGTGGGTAATTTACTCTGTAGGTTAGACCGCTGCTGAGCGCACGGTCGTATGATTTGATTTACCTGATGCCACACTGGACTAGGCTCCCACGACGCCGTGCAGATATCTCCAGCTGCATATATATCTGGCAGGGATGTGTGCATGTGCTTATCTACTTGCAGACCTCCATCTTCACCTATAGCAAACTAAAGTATTTGCATAGATCAGCAATGAGAAAAATAATCATTTAAACTAAGTAATTCAACTTCATCCGTGTTAGGCAGTCATCTCATTTCTTACTTTTTAATGGCAGACTCCTACAAAAATTTCAGTAAACCCACTACTCTGCTTAATCAAAGACACCTGAAGATATAAAAATCATGTAAATACTATGGGAAGCCAGCAAGACGCTCCTCCGGATGCCACACAGCAACAGAGAAAAAGGTCACGCAGTGTTAACAACGTGTAGCTATTCATTCTCCCATCAAATCTGACTGAATTAGAAGAGACTGATAACCACAAGGGAAACAAATTGTTCAAACCTCACAGTCTCAGGACTCCTTCATCTTCAAGGGAAGAAGAGATCCCCCAAGAGTGCCAGAATGAAGTATTTTTCACAACTATCTACATCTCAAGTATTACTTCTCCACACCATAATGCAACCCTGCCCCCTGCGGAATTTTTCCTGAATCTTATCACACCTAGAACCCTTCAAACAAGCAAAGACAAAATTAGCCTACAACAGCAGAATCTCCTAGCAAGCTCTGCATTCTCCTCTCACCAAATTTAACAGGTCAGTGTTGCATTTTACAAGTGACCTTCCCATATCCTTTAAAATACCTCAAACTCTTATGCATTAAACAAAAGCTTAGAACAGCATTATGTACTGAATAAAATTACTGAACATGAGACTATGCAGAGTGGCAAGACCTCCACGGTAAGACAGCAAGCGTTAAGCATTATTTCTAGAACACAGCATAGGTTTTTAAAATATTATTACTGATACCTAGGCAGGGAAGTAACAGAGCTTGAGGGTTTGATTGAATTTCAAATCACACTACGTACATTACAGGGACACCTGGTCTTCAGAGTTCATTCTGTATTCTTGCCAAGGCCAGAAGACGCCATCGCAAACACCTAATCCCTAATCTAACTTCATAACATACGCCTTGAAGTAATCCATGGCTCAACACTGGAAGTCCATTTTCAGAATGTTCTGCTTTATTCAGAGGAGAGCGTTTCGCTCCCTAATCGGAAGGAACTGCAAAACACCAAATACCCTAACGTACTGGGTTTGGCTGAGAGTGAGTTAATTTTCTTCCCAGTAGCTTGTATGGGCCTACGTGGTGGATTTGCGCTGATAAGACAGCGATGGTTCAGCTGTCGCTGAGCAGCGCTCGCACCGCCTCGAGGCCTTTCCCGCTCCTCAGGCCGCCCGGCCGGCAGGGAGGCTGCAGGCGCACGGCAAGCTGGGGGGGTCCCGCCGGGCAGCGGAGCCCCCCTGCCCAAAGGGGTACCCTGAGCCGCACCACGTCGTGTTCTGCAATGAACGCTGCAGGGAAGGGGGCGGGGACGTTCATAACAATGGCGCCCGTCTTCCCAAATAACCGTCATGCGTGATGGAGCCCCGCCTTCCCAGAAATGGCTGCACGTCTCCCTGCCGACGGGCAGTAGCGAACGAATTCCTGATCTTGCTTTGTTTGCATGCGCGGCTTTTGCTTTCCTTCAGTTGTCTTTATCTCAACCCACGCATTTTCTCACTTTCACCTTTCTGACTCTCTGCCCCCATCCCACTGGGAGTGAGCAAGCGGCTGGGGGGTGCTGAGCCGCCGGCCGGGGTTGAACCAGACACCTAACACGGAGACAGAGTGATCTCACGGCCCGAAAATTCACATGGCAGCTGTGAACTCCGTAATCGTCATCCACGATCGGATGCTGATTCAGAGCGTGACTTCCCTCGATGAATATGAGCACCTTTGTAGCTCAGTTTCCTAGATGAAAATTATTGGAAATAACTGTTTCCTTCCCAGGAGAAAATTTTAAGATTTGTAAGATAAGAATATGGTGCAGAATTAACACAAAAATTATTCTAAATTTTTGCCATATTAACCAGTCACACCAATACATGTTTTTCTCTCTTTGTATAGGCTTAATCTTAACAGTGTGTATTTCATATATACACTGTGTATCAGTGCATATCATAAGTAGCCACATAATAAGCCAAGAACAGTAATGAAGTTAATTTTTATCATGTTGGGTATTTCCAATATCAACATACCTGCCTTACCTTGAAACGCTGTACAACATTCAAAACCTTTAACAATCAATGTTTCACGTCAGAAGCATAAACCAGCTGAAAGAGCTCATTTCACATTACTTAAAAAGCCCCCGCCTTAAGCATCAACAGAAATCAGTATACTTACATTATTGCCATCAAGAAATGGTTTAACATTTGGCACAACTCCAGTTGCACTGACAATGAAATCACATCCATAAATTTTTCCATTAGTTAATTCCACATATACAGGCCATAGCACTGAAAAAGGGGAAAATTTTGCCCTGAGAACGTAACCAACAGAAGTTATTTTATTAATGGTGTCTTATAATAAGACATGAAATAAAGATAAGAAAAAAAAATCTTCTGAGATATCTAATGGAACCATCACACCTCCCCCCCCCCAAAGAAAAGCCCCCAACACCCCCTACAAATTGCCTCTAATAATTCTTACCTTCACTCAGGACTAGAAAAATTAGATTTTTGGAGCTTAGCTCCAAGTCCTACTATTAACTTTCTCTGGAATTTCCCTAAATCAAAGCCCTCAGTTGTAGGGGGGAAATCCTGTGTCCTCCCACTGCTTCAGATCCATGGACTGATCGCTGAAGTACGCCACTGCCAAATATTCTTTTACATACAAATTTACAGATACACAGGAAATGCCTCAAAAGCAAAAAGATCATCAGGGGTTCAACTTCCTAGAATCTTATGGTGAAAGTAACTGGCTATGAAAATAGTATTTTAAATATTAATTTTCATTCAGTGGAATTTATAGATAGAATTATTCATGAAACGTGATATTTTCTTCTACTTTTTTTGAGGTATTACCTCAGTTTTGACAGTAATTTTTTTTTCTTCTGTTTTAACTCCACTATTGATATATGATTTTACTGGGCTGTCACAAGGAGGGAATATTCTGCATACAGGATTTTCGGTGACTTTGTGGGAAAAGGGTTTGACCCATAACATTTTGTAATTCAATTGTAGCCCATAAATCAAATTATTAACTACTATAAATTGCTAGAGCTCCATTTAATTTATAGAAATAAAGGGTTTATTTTCCAAATCTGTATTTGCTCTAAAATAGCAAACGAGCAAATTTGCTCCAGCACTGCTTTATCTTCAACATGTTATTTCTAATCAGCACCGGCACCTACCCTCATCTGGTTCTACATTTTTGTCTTCCTTAGGAAAAGCCAAAGAAGTCCGTTGCAGCTGTATAAACTCGTGCTGTAAGTGTATTTTCTTTACTTCACACAGTATTTCAATATGTACCTGATGAGAAAACTAAAGAAAGATTGACAAAATTGTAAACATAATGATTAGCAATAACGGTATTTTTAATAGCAAGCATACCTTCACCTAAACTGACATGTTACAAACTGGAAAAAAACACAACAAACCAACCCAAACCAACCCCACACATCCCATCCTAAAGCATGACACATTATCTGAGTACCCACACCTTTTCCCTTTTTGGCACAGATCCAACCATAGCAAATGGCAATTTACCTGCTTTTTCAGCAGATATCTGATGTTCCTTCAAATTTCGTGACAATTTAGATTTTTCTGGCATGCCAGAAAACACATTCAAGTTCCCCTGAGTTTACAGGAAGAGAATTTAGAACTTATCAGAAGAGAAAAAAAGTAGATTCATCTTTTCTATTTTTCAGGAGTTCAAATCCTTAATTTTTCTATCATGACTTAGATTCTGGTAACAATAATTCTGTTCTAAATGCTGTAGAAAGAAAAGGAAAATATACCTTGTTCCATCATCCCGTGTTTCAACCACTTACTCCTATTCTGAGCTCAAGACATATTTAAAAATCAGGAATTTGAAACATAATTTGTAGCACAGATTTATTCTCCACTGCACAAAACATATTTCCACAGCCTTCAACAGCCACAATGCCACCAATTACTCTGCTGAATGTCCCAAGCATCCTTTAGCTGGCACTGCAAAGCCATTTCTGTAGAATCTATGACTCATGAGCCTTGAAAGGCCTTTCCTTTTTCAAATGCGTCTAACAGGTGCAAACACCGAACAACTAAGAAATTAATAAATAAAAACCTGATAAAAAGCTATGGATTGTGAGGATTTTTACTTCATTTCAAACATGAAACTCTTCACAATCCTCATGTCCACTACTGATTTCACATTTCATTATCTGCTGTGACAGGAGACTGATGTTCCCTGTACCTCTGTACAAATCCTCCTGTCCTATTTTCCACATAAAAAGACGTACGTATGGCAGCTAAAATTAGGACCACAGAGGAACCACTGCTGCTGGTTAAAGCTAGGATTGACACCAGTCCTACAGAAATATGCAAACCAACATCTATGTTTCAATCTGAAGAGCAAATTGCTAACACTATGCCAGTGGACCCCATCAGCCACCTCCTTCTTCATGCAGAACATGACTTTATTCATGTTAACACGTTTTCCTGTTTAATTCTGACAGGAGAATCAGTTCAAGCACATTTTGGCTTTGTTTTTCTAATAATCCTGGATGTGACATTTCACGTTCTGTCATCCTTACCCACTTAAAGCAACACAAACAAATGTTTAAGCAAGATTATGACCACACCTCTTTCGTCCCTTTAAGATGTAAGCCCTCATGCCAGTCAGGGCCTAAGGCACTGCCCAGCTTGTCAGATGCTGCTACAGGTCTTTCTTTTTCCTCACTTCCTGAAGAAAAGAGATGAAGATTATGAGATTTAGTGTTTATACTTAATTGTCTGCAGAGTTCCAAACAAGGATTCTCAATTAAGAGAAGTACGATCTGGTTGCCGGAGGGAAGACAAAAAAGTGGTATGTCCCCAAACCCACCAATGTGCAGACAAATCAATCTCCAAGCCAGTATTTTTAACACCTTTCAACTTTCTGCCTTTCATTACTTCACCCCTCTCCAAAACAACCGTGGCACTGTTCGGTGCCTGCATGGAGGCTGACCCCTGACAGCACCAGCATTCTGGAGACCCACGGTAGACGTGGTTGCTTAGTATCAATGCTGATATTCAAACTGATGTCCAGCTGCTAGCAAATGTACCCCGTCCCCTCCGCTGCACGGAAGTGCAAATTCTAACATGCCATGATACATCTGAAGAACCTTGGGTGTCATTTTGTGATGTTTAGGCCGACTCTTTTACAATTTATTCTTCCAATCTGAAGTCCAGAACCATGCTCTCTGTTTTTATTTTGGTCCTAACGTATATTTGTGTGTGTTCATGCAGTTCTGGTTAACTGTTACAATTAAGACTGCAGTTTCACTGCATCTGTAATAACGTTCTGCAAGGTTTCATCTGGTCTAGGAGAGCTCCCTCCTACATAATGCTAACATAATTCAGAAAAACATTAAAATATTACTGAAATAGAACAAGTTCTTCAGTAGATGGAATATAGGAAATGAAATGTAAACTTATCACAGATATAAAATTAAGCACATTTTTTACAGTTTTTAGGTAACTATTACATGCTGTCGCGTGTCTACATCAATTCTGGACAAGTTTTTATATCACGTTTTTACTTCTATTTTTTTAAAGAAGGAAATGCCATTGATGATAACAGTACACCTTATTTATGGCCTGCTAAATGAACTGATCTTAGGACTATCTTTAATATTAAATGCTGCTGCTGTGTTAGGAGACTAAAACACCATACCTTCCACTGTATACTTGGTTCTTTTACACTCAATTGGAGTCTCTCGTTTTTCAGCAGTTAGCTTTGGAATGAGAAATTCAGCTGCTCCTGCATCAAAAAAAGTGTTCCCAATGGCTTTGTCTTTGATAGCCCAGATTACTTCGCAGCCTTGAATTTCATACCTGTGGACATTTAAACAGCGGATAGTGACAAGCTACCCGAAAGGGATCTGACTCTAAGCAACACAACTAGAGTTTCATTCCAGCACCTAGAAATAATGGACCCAAGACTTTTAAGCCTATCAAATCCACTACTGATTCTAAATATTTACATAAGGAACACACTAAAAAAAAAAAACTCTTCAAGTTGACAGGTCATACTTTATCACCAGCACAACCTCAACTGAACTGGGGCAGGGGGGTGAGGGAGGCAAATCAAATAAATAGTACTACTACTAATTATTATTAATTCCTGTTCCCCGCAATGAAAAAATGTGCATTTTTGCCAGAGTCCCCACTGCTAAGAACAGGCATTTGAATCTTGTTTGTACTACCTGGAAAACGAACTGATAAGAGACATGCAGAGGACGATCTAGTGAAAGTGAAAAAGTGATTCCCTGCACACAAAACAAGACCATATGATTGTGTAATACAGACGTTTCTGTAATGTAGCAGACTGTAGGACCACACCGTTTAATATCTTACCTGTGACAAAGGCTACGTCGACACTTTAGAAGCTCGCTCAACTGAAATTAGGCTGGGCGCAAAATAAGATGCGCCTTTATTCCTGTGACATTTTCTGTGTCCAGACGTCAGATAAGTTTTATAACTTAAATACTGCCCTTAACAGTCTTAGCAGAAATCTCTGTCGGTGCCAAATCAGACAAATGCTGTATATTCTCCATATCTATGTTCAAAGCTTCTGAAGCTTGCTGAAATTTATGTGATAGTAAGCACCACCATACTACAAAAACGTTATTTTAATAAATTTTTCTACTAAATGTTTGAAGAGCTACAATTTTAGAAGTCAACCTCCTCCCAAACTCATGCACACTAGATTTATCATCGCATTGTGAAAGATTTTATTTGCCTACTTATCTTTAAAACTTGGTCATTTACTTACACTAACTCAAGTGCAATCCCACCATTTCCGACCACTACTATTCTCTCAGATTGAGCCAAATTCTTCTGAAAAGCCTGCATCAAGACAGAAAAAGTCAGTTACAACTTAGATCATATGTTCCCTCATACTGATCAATTACATTCTATTCAATATCTTATTGCTCTCTTCTTACTTTGATTTTCTTAGACTATTGAGACACATTTTCTTATGCAAAGAACTGTTACAGAAGCTAATGAAACCTATCTTCTCACCTAAGTTCTATCACATTAAGGGATAAAGTTATTGATACAGCCTTACAAGTCTCAAACTGAGACAGGAGAAGTTAAATAATTCCTTTAAGCCAATTTGACAGAGCTCTTAAAAGAATACAGGAGACTTTTCTCTGTCCTAGAGACCACTAACATTGTCATATCTATTAATCTAGCTTTATCACAACCTGCATAACTTTCACAGTAATTTGTATAACATCAAAAAGGCAAAGATACAGAAATTTCGGAATTCAAAAACTCCTGATCACAAATCAGGAATTTAATAAATAATCTGTAGCAAATCAAAGATCCAATTTTATTTGTGCAAAAAACTTTCAGAAAGAGACAAATCTGCAAATCCATCTTAGTGGCAAGAGACATAAAACAAAACATAGCCCAGACAGTAATTTTCTAGATCATAATGTAACCACTTCAAGTATTTTCTTTCAAACCAACCAAGAATCATGCCCATCAGACCAGCTACTGGAGTCACACAAAAATCTGTTCATCCACGCGTCCCGTTTACCTGACTAATTGTATCAGAGAACCTAAACTGTGAAAGACTGTGCAAACTGCAGTCCTTCAATCCCTTCAGAGAAGGGTACTGAAGTTCTATCAGAGGGAACTAGCGAATGCAACTAGTCACCATTAAAAAAAACCCCAAAACCAGAAACAAGTATTTTCAGTCTCCCTTGAAAGTTCAACACCAGTGTTGACAAATGCTAGCCCAGTCCACTGTTTCCCACAGAGCCCAGCAACAGATGCACAGGGAAGACCATCAGAAGACGACAAGCACACGACAGTACTATGCTGGAAAACCCTCACAGGTTCCAGATACCACTGGTGCCACTCAGGTGGCATCTTTCTCTTCAATTCAGACGAAATAAATTTATCAAGGGCTGTCTTTTTGTGTGTTTTTTTCTTCCCTCTTCTTCTCTGTCTTTTTTCTTTTTTTAAACTCAGGTAAGGTTTTAATATTCAAAACAAACAACAACAATTTTATAGTTTCAGTTCAGTTTGCTTGAAAAAGTACCTCCTTTTTTATTCTCAACATCAAACTTCATTTGATGAATTACAGTTCTTATGTTATGGAGAAGCAGTGTTCACTTTTACCTTGCCCCCTCTAATCCTAAAGACCTATTGCAGTGAAACCTCACTTTCTACTTCCAAGCTGAAGTTCACCCTACTAAGCCACTCCTCATATGAAAACTTTTCCACATCTTTGACTACAACAGTAACACTTTTCCGTACAATGAGGAGAGACTACAGTAGAACTAGAGAAAGTGTCCTTCAGCAGCTTTCCACTGTAAGAAGTAGCCCTTCGTACCGTGTACCAGATACACCTTCTCAGTTACTACTGGTACCTGTTTCCTGTTTATATTTTCAGACTGGCTTCTGTCTGGAGGGTATAAGACTACCATCAATGCTAGATTATCATGTTAGAGATATTGTCTATGAGTTATCTATGAAGTTAATAAATTTAGTGAGTAATTAATTTATTTGGTGGTGTTTTAAGGCTATTTCTCCGCTACTGAAAGTGTTCCTATTTAAGGATATATAATAACAAACATCATCTCTGTTTCTCCATTTCACTCCACATTTTTAGCATTTTGCATCAGAACCAGGACTATACTATACACTTGTAAGTCCAAATCACATTTACCTGTGCACTGTCAGTATCCCGGATTCCTATAACATACGGGTTTCCTTCACATATTAATTTTGGTTTTGCTCCAGCACACAGGCAAAGTTTTTCATACATATATTCTTTCCCATCTTCAGTGACAATTTTCTGTCAAAAATTAAGAGAAAAGAAAAAAAAAACTGGAGGCATCTAAGAGAACATCAGCTTTTTTTCTTCCTTAACGTCATAGTATTATGCAGATATTAAAAGCAATAACTGGCTTCTTAAAGAGCAAGCCTTCATACTCTCATTGACTGTGTGTCATTTAACTGCATTACACTCATCACAGTCTGACAAGCCTAGATAGATGACATTATATGACAGATAAAAAGGAGAAGAGTACACAGCGCGCTCAAAGAAAGATGAAATATAAAGATTACCACTTGATGGCACTCTGTACTCAATACCTGTGCTAAAAGAAGAATCGGTTTTCTGTGTGACAATGTCCCCCCACGCCAGTAAGAGATGTAGACTACGCACTACCACATATTAGCAATTAAGAACCTCATTCAAAACATTTCAACAGTGGTAGACCTGTGTTAACTTAACTAGACACAAGCTAGAATACAGTTTAGAAAGACTGAAAATTCTGTTATTTGCTAAAGGGTAGGCACAAAACAAGCTACATCATTCTGCCACAAGCAATAGTTAAATGTTAACCTTTTATGACCTTATTTGTTGTTTTCCAAACCATAAGATAAAGAGTTTAAAGTGCTTTTGCACATAGAGGGGTTTTAGAGGTTTTCAGAAAACAGAGGCAAAAGATTCTCCAAATCCACAGACATGAAATATTCATGTTCACAGAGACACACCTAATCTAAAACATTATTATAATAATGATACAAGAATACAATTCGATTCAGAGTAACAGCAGAATTATAATCTAACTGGAATCATATCTCTGTGACTGAAAAAGAGCAAAATCAGTCTGGGATCTAAATATGAGTTTCTGATAAATGCTGAAGTGAAAAATAACGTGTCAAGTTGACACAAACACTAATAAGGATCTGTATGTGCTGTACACTTCTCATACTTGCAAAATATTTCCTGCTAAAAAGAAAGAAGAAAAGGTGGAAATGTTGGTTCTTTCAAGATTTTTTTTTTCTTTATCATAAAGTTGTTAACTTTTTGGTCTCTGTAGCTACAAGCAGTGATTCAGGAATCAGAGAGATCTCCAATCAAGGATTACAAAAATTTTGACACCTAAACTGATACACAGTATCAGTTTCATTGACTGGTTTCCCTGCTCTTAGAATCAGGTATTCAATGCAGTCTCTCTAAGGTGTCAAAGATTTAGATTTAAAAGATATGGTTTCTTAATTAACAAGTAGTTTTTGATGAACAATTATGTCCCCTACATATACTTCTACTTGAACAACATTGTAAGTGATAAGTGAAACTAAAGCTAGGAAGTATTTTCTGTTAATTTTGGTAACTGAACACTTTAATAACCAGAATGGTCTTCAACAGAATTTCAAGCCAAAAATATTCACCTGTTTCTTCAATTATTTTTTTTTAAATAATTTTAGAAATTACATAAAAGTAAAGGAGCAAACATCAGCTTACATGTTCATCACTTTTCAATTGTTTTACTCCAGACTGTATAACTTTAATATTGGGATATCGTTTTTCTAATAGAGAACTTGGTTGCTCTTCTACATCAAAGTCCTCAAGTGTTTTGGAGACCTGTAGAAAGAAGAGAGGTATTTAAAAACATCAATCATTTATTCTTCTCTTTTTCTAAAGTTTGTAACAAAATATGTTATGTTCATTTCCAGTAAAGTCACAACATAAAGCCCATACTGTCTCAAAACATGTTATCATGTTACTGCTAAAATTTCTTTTGATATACACAATCTTTTTATAACTATTCCTAGTAAAGAGTCATAGCAGCACAGTCAATTTTAATTGTAAACTACAGATTAAGCAAGAATAGAGAATCCTGATGACTGCTCTAACTGCTATAATGTTCTATTCCATATATAGACTATATCACTAGCGCTGGCAACACTGCTTTTTAACCTACCTGATGCAGTGTTTTTCTGTTTGTCATAACTTTGATAAAATAACTCAATGATGTTCCCCCATGCAAGCATCTTCCTCTCCTTGGTATTTTGGGAAAAAAATTTTGGTCAAGATAGCTTAGCAAATTATGTAAACACACTTTTGTCTGGAATAAATACTTTCATTCTATTAAAAAAAAAATCTAGTGACATTTTCTTCAAAAACCTAATTATTCAAAAACCTTTACTTCCGTGTAGTTGGCCCTTATGTCAGGAAAAGTGCTGACTGTTGTTCAGCTTATAAGCAGGACGTGCAAGACAAGCGTTTAGGCAAAACAGATTCAAGACCGCCTCAAAGCATTTACTCAGCATCTCATCCACCATCTGATATTTCAGAGACTGGGGTACGGGAAGAGGCAAACCAGAAGCTGGAAAACATTCAAGTGAATTACATTGATTTGGAGCTTCTTCCAGCAGGGAGCAGCTGCATGGGAACCTACAGGCCTTCTACTATACAGAATATTCAGAGTCTGGAACACAGCTAGGAACCAGAGGTCATTCTAGGCTTGTAATTCAGAGAGAAATTAAGATGCTTATGTCCAAAACTTAGAGATGCTGCCTTCAAATACTATTTAGCTATTCTCTTTTTCTTCAGATACTGAAACTTCTGCCAGTGTGAACTGCAGACTTGACACCTCTACAATGTCTGTCCTTCCTGGATACTCATGACCCTGCTGTCAGCACTCTCAAACTCAGAAGATATTCTTTACTTGGGTGTTACTCTTCTCAGCCTCACACAGAGCTCTCAGTCTCTCAGCTATGTTCTGAGCATCCCATTATCCTCGACAAAAACCACAGTGCGAAAAGGAAGAGATGCTGATAGCCAATTACAGTCACTAAGTGCAGAGAACTGCTGTTCAGATCTCTCTATGCTTTCTCTTCCCCCTGTAGTGACTGGAATCAGGCATTCATACACCAGGAAGAAATGTTAAAACCAGGCTGTCAGATAAACTGCAGAGTGGTCTTTCTTTACTGGTCATGAGATATGCCTCACCTGTTAAATACCATGTTTCGGAAAGAGAGCCATGAACATAAATGCCCGTGGAAGCTCAGCTCTAGGCGTCTTAATTTGCCCTTAGAGGTGACACCTAACCTCTTACTGGCTGGCAGCTCTGCATCCTGAGTTCTGCGCAATCCAATCTCCAACTCCTTCCATCCCCTACGGTGGAGTTTAAAGTTCCCTCAGAGTGGGAAAAAGAGCAGTGCTTTCCAAGATCCGAGTACCTCTGCGAAACTAGCTTAAGGAACCTACTAGCCCGAAATCTGCACTCATGCATGGATTTTATTTTCTTTTTCAAACCAGCAGGAAAGAGGTCATTGAATCACCAGCTACTGGAGATGTAGATAAAAATGAAGACAATTTCACTGAAGGTTATTCCTTTTTTTGTTACTTGTCAGAAATCTAATTCCGTCTCAAATTCAAACACACTATGGTATGAATATGAGAAACACTAGCAAGACCAAGTTTCATCAGTAATTTATTCCAAAGATACTATTTCAGTGATCACAATGGAGCATACCCATTAAAAAAGCAGCGAAATAAAGCTTCAGTAACCTAGAAAACACTTCAACTGTGTAAGTACCGTTTAACCTTTGCTCAAATGTGAATATATTCACTAATTACTTACTAATTATTACGAATCTCTACAAAATATGTCATCAGCCCCACTAACACCACTGCAGTCACACTAATGTGAAAACAAGTTCAAAATCGCAAGCATATTCAGGATTAGATTCTAATTATCTATACATAGACAAACTTCTGAAGAGGTCTTACCTAACAAATATTAAGTCTCTCTTACCTGTCTGAAATTTGTGACAGCCTTTATAACCGGAGAAGCCGTCATTAAAAAAATGTCTTCTGATGGGAATTCCACAGCCAGCTTGTAAAGAAACAGAAGTCATGATGAGTGAACAGTCATCAACAGATTTTGACTTTTAGACAATAAAATTATTGGTGAAAAGTAGTATGTGTTACTACATTACTTGAGTCTCCTAGAATCCTATTGGATAAACACTACTTCAAGATTATGGAAGAATAATGACTGAAATCAACGGAATCTGGACACCCAATATTTTAATTCATTCACACAAAAATATATCTTGAAGAAGTGCAGCCACTGTTCAAATGACTGCTCAAAAGACTATTCTCACAGTATTCTAGAGGCCAACTGTAGGAACATACTATGATCGTGTGATGTCTGGAAACATGCAGTTGCTGGATGTAAATTTTTTAATTGCACAGCAGTGACTGATTGGTCATAGATCTCATTTTGACAGGCAAATACTGATTCCTATTGGCTATTTTAAATGTTATTTAGTAAACTGATAAATGGATTATCATCTTGAGAGTGCTCCAAGCCAAAATGAAGAATTTCCGTCATTAATGTGCATTGCTCTGCCACGGAAAATAAATCAGCTCTGTCAAGTACAAGCCGCTCATCTCTGAGGTACAGACAAACTCAGGGCTCCTTGTCACCAGCATTCGACCGATGAACAGAACAATCGTATAAGCCACAAGAAGTACGCTTCATGTTGTACAGGAGCAACTGAGCTAACCAGTCTAACACAGGAACCTGAAGATGAAAGTGGTGAAACCTTGTTGCCAGTTTAAGGGAGATTCACATGGTCATACCCTTGGCAAATACAAATGAATTTAATGAGGCTATGTAAAATTTCATGTAATCCACACTTCCTAGCATGAATCCCGATGTGTTTCATACCTGTTATAGCTGTATGCTTCACACTGACAGACAATCAGAAGCAAGGTTGATGTGTAACACTATGCAGCTGCAGTTGCTGTATCTAATGAGCCTCAGAAAAACTACAGAATGCTGTGGAAAGCATGGGATCAACCTCAGTATCTTTATTAATGACAGACAGTGGGACTGAGTGCACCCTCAGCAAGTTTACAGACAACACCAAGCCGAGTGGTGTAGTCTATTAGTCAGAAGGAAGGGATGCCATCCAGAGGGATCCTGACAGGCTCAAAGAGTGGGCCCATGTGAACCTCATGGATTTCAACAAGCCCAAGCACAAGGTCCTGCAAATGGGTTAGGGCCATCAACAGTATCAGTACACAGACTGGAGGATGAATGGATTGAGAGGTTGCCCAGAGAAGCTGTGGATGCCCCTCCCTGGCAGTGTTCAAGGCCAGGCTGGATGGGGCTTTGAGCAACCTGGTCTGGTGGGAGGTGTCCCTGCCCATGGCAGGGGGGTTGGAACTAGATGATCTTTAAAGGTCTCTTCCAACCTAAACTATTCTGTGATTCGATGTAATAATCATCAGATGTACACTGTAACCCAAAATTTTAAGAGGTGCATCATGTACTTTGCATTGCTTACACACGCTCAAATGCTTACCCCTCCTCTCTTACTAAGATTCAATGGTTGTTTGAAATTTTCATTGAGTATCATTAAGGTTATTGCATTTCGTTACCTTTCAAAATACTAAAATTAGAAGTCTGCCAAATAGAATACTAAGCTTATTCATACATATGGAAATGTGAGGTCATCACAATACAGAAAGAAATATTGCATTATAAGCATGAAAGGCAGCAATTATGTAAGACATGAAAGATTTTGTGAGAAATAAATCTAACTCTTTAAAGAAAATTCAGCTTTTAAGAAATTCTGTCAGAGTATTTAAAAATGTACTCAAAAAGGTAACTAACGCTATGTGAATTTTTTTGAGACTGACCTGATGTAATGATTGTTCTCAGACAGCTGCCTGAAAGGTCTGAACTACAAGACACCTTACAATGCATACCCAAAATGCAAATATAATGGACAAGGTGTTTATTGCCACTACGTTCCACAGAACTGAACTTGCACAAAACAAGGACTGGGAAAAAATGTGTTCAATCTTCTCTTTTCCTTTAGAGCACACCCGCAGCTATGGATGTACAACACAGAAATCCTGACAGAACACACAGTGCCACTTTTAATGGACTTAGTGAATTAAAACGTATGCCAGAAGACCACTAATACTCGCTGCTAGCTGTGCCTCCTACAGTACTAAGAGATGAGAAAAAGAAGCAAGTCTGTCACCACATAACAATCTGATTTGGGTTTTCCAGGAAAAAAAATAACGGTGAGAAAAAGGAAAGAGCATAAGAAGAAAGGTGTGAATTATAGCAGTAAGCGGCATTCTTTCTGAGCTCTGGAAGAAAACAAACCCTGAACTCTGTGGTACTAACACAGCAGAAAGCATTTTCAAGAAAACAATAAATTTTAATTCCTTTTATAGAAATCTTTGAGATTACAGATATCCTGTATATACTGAAAATAACAGTATTGTGAAAGAGGATCACAGCAATTAGATACAATTTGGAATTACTTCCAGGAAAAACATAAAGTCTCCAGGAATACTAAATATTGACCCAAATCTTATTCTTGCAAGCACATCAGGATACAAACGAGCCTTAATTATGTGAATAGTTTAATCAACTTTTAAGGGATTACTCATATTGATACAGTATTTAAGTGTCTGCAGTATCAGAGCCCAAATATTACAGAATCACAGAATGGTCAGGGTTGGAAGGGACCTCTGTGGGTCATCTGGTCCCACCCCCCTGCCAAAGCAGGGGCACCTACAGCAGGCTGCACAGGACCACGTCCAGGCAGGTCTGAGTATCTCCAGAGAAGGAGACTCCACAACCTCCCTGGGCAGCCTTTCCAGTGCTCCATCATCCTCAGAGTGAAGAAGTTCTTCCTCATGTTCAGACAGAATTTCCTCTGCTTCAGTCTGTGCCCGCCAGCCATGAATAAAAGGGAAAAAACCCCAAACTAATAAGACGGTAGAAACACAAACCTATCCATAAGGATGAATAACAGCATCAATATTTTGTTGGAATTTAGTCTACATGTGGTTTATACAACATGCCCAAGACTGTCAGAAATGAAACAATATCACTTCATCACCAGGGAACAGATGCATCTGAAACAGAGTCTTTATAGTGCTCTGTAGTTTTAACAGATAAAATGTTCTTCACTGAACTAATCATCCACATAATTTTATTCCACATTATAAGTACAAAATTACTTACTGTTACTTCTAAACCACCAAAAACCCTGAAACCAAGAAATGAACGAACTTATTCTTCAAGCTCACGCTCACGAAAAGTGGAAGCGATGGGGCCCCCCATCTCTGCAGGCGCACAGCCCTGCACACGGCGCCACTGAAAACAGCGCAGTGTTTTCACAAACAGGAGCCCGTCACGGCAGCCTTCATCCCAGTCGCGGTGCTGTCCTTCGTGGCTGCGAGGAACAGCACACGCACACAAACTCCTCCAAGTTCCGGAGCAGCAGACCGGCGCACGCAACGCCAGCTTTCTCAGGCCCCAAAGTTTTAACCCTCCCTCTCTCTCCGCAGGGGCTGCAAGCCCTGACGGGGCTGCCTGCGGGACGGCGCTGACTCCGGAGAAGCGTCTCTAAGGCAGAGAAATACTGCCGCGTTACAACATGGCTTCCCTGGGGCTCGCTGTGCTCCGCTGGCTCGCTTTCTGGAGGAACCAAAGGTTCGTAGAACACTGGGGAGGGGAGCGCTGCAGCAGAGTATTCACACCATTACTGTATAAGCCGGAACTGTATGAACCGAGC